TCCATTAAATTACCTAATAAAGATTAGAATGACATTGTCCAATGTAAAAATGCAGCAGATGTTCTTAAAAACTTCAAAAGGACCTAGTCTGTACAAAAATACAAGCTAATATAAGGCCTTTTTTTAGAAGCTAGGTAAAAGGAACAGACGATGATTAAAATAATATGATGAGGACCTTTTTTTTTTTTTTTAGAAACACGACACGAAGAGTTACACAATATAGTTTTTTTTACAAAATAAAAGTGTACGGTACTGGCAGGCCATGTACGGTAATTTGTATTGCGCGGTACGATAAATGGAATTTGAAAAGTTGGCAACCCTGAGCCACATAGCGAGGTGATATTTGACCACCCGTGTATTTGACACTTGGCGCCCACACGTGCGTATCGAAATGCACTAAAAAGGAACATGAAAATTAAATTTAACACTTTTTACATTCAACTGCACCTTTTAATTTAATATAATCACTTAAAAATGATTTTTGATCAATATGCAGTTGAAATAAATGTTTCAATAATAATAATTATTAAAATAGTGCGTTATTAATAAAAAATAATATCGTAGTACGCCCGTGGAAAACGTGACAATTATCACGTAAATGCTCAAAATTGACAGTCTGGCGTCCAAATTGTCATGCGCACCGACCGTTTTTTTCACAAATGTCGGCTTAGATATTAGGCATTCCAAACAAATGAATTACCAGTGGGCAGGTTTGGTATATCTAAGGGTGGCGACATATGGTGTATTCTATCTACTTTACGTAAAATCATGAATAATGGATTACGTTTAAATATTTTATGTCAAACACAATAAAAATAATATTTAAAAAACCCACCTATACATTTCTTCATAAATTGGCAGGCTTGGCGACTACTACTTTGAATAAAAATAGCGTCCAAGTTACAAGACTATGTCGCTACCCCCTTAGATATACAAGAATGTCCCACTGGCACCTATTGTTTGACAGGTCGTTGGAATGCCTAATTGGGTCCTATGATTGAACGTTTACGTTATCCGTAACGTACATGTTAGGCCGAATTTTAAAAGTAACGAGGCAAGTTCGTATGATGGAAACCTGTTAAATTAGAACATAACAGGCGGAAAATAACAGTAATGTGTTATGAAAGACTTTACATCATACGAATTTGTCTCTTTGCTGTTAAAACTCGGCCTAACATGTACGTTACGGATAACGTAAACGTTCAATCATACCACCCATTAGGAGTAGGGTTTATGCTGGCCCACCGACCTTGATATTAAACTGGATAGCTATATGACATAAACCTTATAGTCCAGGATCCGTAAGTAGGGTCGACCTTCACCCATCTGTTTAATAGATAAAACTTATTTTTTATTAAATAAAATATGTTTTTAAATATACTGCAAATGGGTTGCCTAAGAAAATACGGTCACGGCCATTTTTTACTTTCCTTTTTGTGTACAGATAAGTAAAGTATAAAAATCATGATAAAAGTTGTTTATGATGTCATTATCTATTATTTTGTTTCTATACATGATTTTCCTAAAATGAACCTAATTCGAGATATTTGAGGAAAAGCGCAAATTTCGAATTTTGAAGACAACTCAAAAACGGATAAAGAGAAAAACACCAAATTTTAAATTTAAGCTTTAATCCATCCTGTGGTGAGCTGACTAAAGTTTGGACATAGTTGAAGCATCTGGGGAATACTTTACAGGGTGTCGTTTTTTTTACTTTAAGAAAAAAAAATAGTCTGGACCATATTTTCTTAGGCAACCCATTTGCGGTATATTTATAAATATATTTTATGTAATAAAAAGAAACTTTCATCCATTAAACAGATGGGTGAAAGTCGACCTTACTTCGGATCTTAAACTATTACTCCTAATTTCTAAGCCAATATGGGTGAAAAAAAAAATGATCGGTGCGCATGACAATTTGGCCGCCAGACTGTCAATTTCGAGCAATCTACGTCACGTTTTCCACAGGCGTTATATTATATTTTATTAATAACGCACTATTTTAATAATAATTATTGTTATTGGGACATTTGTTTCAGTTGCGTATTAATCAAAAATCATTTTTAACTGATTTTCTTAAATTAAAAGGTGTCGTAGTTGAATGTAATAAGTGTTAAATTTAATTTTGATTATCCTTTTTAGTGCATTTCGACACGCACGTGTGGTTGAGCCAGACCTGCTATTAATCGTTCGTCAGTGGTATGGTAGCTGAATGTTTCATTCAATAAACAGTGAAACAATAGTTTTTGTTTCTCTTGTAAATTTGTTGTATACAAAGGGTGAGATTACAGAACGTCTGCAACTTTGCAGATCTGCAAATATGGCGGCAACTTTGAAAATCTGCAAATATGACTGACTTACACATGCAAGTATCAAGTTTTCGTATTCCAAATTTGGGTTTAGTGTTGTTGGGGGTAATAAACCACAATAAATATTGCGAATTTGCAGATATTTTTTGGAATACTTACATTTGTAAGTCCGCCATATTTGCAAAGTTGCAGATGCAAAGTTGCAGATGCAAAGTTGCAGACGTTCTGTAATCTCACCCAAAAACGATATCTGAATCCATGTTTGAATTTCCCGCCCTAAAGTATTTTTAATTTTCCCGCTATTTACTAGTGGCGCCATCATAGACTGGTTGTGGTTACAATCGCCCAAATAAGTTTTACCGAACAAAAAAAATACATTGAGTTAGGGTCTATTTATACTCCCTTAGTATTAGTATTTGTATTAGTATTATGATTAAGCATTAAATTTGTTAAATCATTAAAAAAAGGTATTTATACTCGTTTTATAATTAGTATTAGTAATTCTTTTTTAAACCTAATACCTAATAAGATATAATTCTGCAGTCAACAAAATATATGGTTACTGAAGAAATGTGTAAGAGGCCGGTTGTGTTCTTTTAAGATATTTGAGTTTTAAATGTGTTTTTATTAATAGTTTTACTAGTTAATTTTATTTAAAAATATTAATATTCAAAAATAGGTTTAATTAAGGACATTTTAACGGATTTAAGTCTCAAATTTATAACAGATAAAAAGAAGCAGAAATATGATACAAATCAGACAGAAAAGAGTCCTTTGCTTCCTCGTGGTGACATGTCATTTGTCAACTTTATAATCGGTAAACACTGCTGATCACGGGGGTTTATAGCATATGCGCATTTTGTCAACAAGTTACTGCGCATCGAAACTGGCGTACGTCCGTTTTACAATAACACAATTATATATAAAATATAAAGAAAACAGAATAATTACAAAATATCTCAATAAAAATGTGTTATTAACTTGCCAAAAGTAATAGTTTCACATTTTTTTAATTTATCAATCGTAAAATTGAAAAAATATGAATTTATTCAATTATTTGTACAATGTAAACCTGGCTTTGGATAACAAAACCCAAATCTCGTTAAAGCTCGAGTCGACTCGATAAACGAAACCCGAATGCCGAATGATACAAAATACAATATGGCTGTCGATGTAAACAATTCTGAGTTTTACTTTTATTTAATACAGTTTTAGGCATAAATTTAGTAATAATTTACTGTAAGTAAACTTATTTTGATACTTTTGCATGTCTATGTCCTATAAATGCATATATTTGATTGTAATAGTAAATTGTTCTGGCCCATTTACACTGTTTTAGAAGAAACATTTTCATTTTATTGTCAACCGAAAAAAGGATTATTATTCGTATTCGTAATTGTATTATCCCCAAATATTGAAATCCTTAACAAAGTTTTAATTCTGATATTCATTTTGATAATTATCCTAGATATGCCAATTTAATTGTATGTATTATAACCAAACTTTTTAATCTTTATAAATCTAAAGTATTTTCATTACATAAAGCAAGAAAATCTTAATTAGACGTTATAGAAATTAGAAGTAGTAAATTAAAAATTAGTTAAATCGCTGCAAATGCAAAAGTAATTAGTCACATACAATCAAAATCATGTGCTTTAGGAAGTTTTTCGCTTTCAACAATTGTTTTTTTTTTCTTTTCAGGATTTATGGATGGAACTCTTGTTTTATTTCGCACGATTAAAGAAAAATTTAGTTCGTTTTGTGTTATTTAAAATAGTTGTTTGTTCAGAAAATATATATTATGTTTATTGTTGTAACCAATAAAGACTCAACAAATAATATTTAGTTATAATACAATTTTGTATTACCTATTTATTTTTTACCTCTAAAATTATTTAACATAAAATTTTACATTTTTATTAGCATTTTTTAACACGCCTGAGATGCGTGTTAAAAAAATGCTATTAAAAATGTAAAATTCTTATATTTTGTCGAAGTAAATTAAAAAGCCCGCCAATTTTCAAATTAAAATAGCATTACAGCTTTTTATATTACCGACTGAGTATTAGTTGCACAAAACTATCCCACATGTCGCTGAAGGCAAACATGTTGCCATATTTATACAAAGAAACGACAACTCTTAATTATCCTTCCTCCATGCTGCTGATACACATAAGGTTCTTTCGTTCGCTGTTGGTGCAGTGTCCACCAGTGTAAATTACACCAGTTACACCACCTTATTTACCTTAGTTTACTTCCCTCCTTATTCCTTATATACATGTCGAGTGTAATTCACTCCTGCTAAATAGCTGGTGGAGAAAATATCCACCAGTGGACACCACATCGCTTACAGGAAGGTTTAGTGGATTTTACACCGGGCCGAACGAAAGGTTTAGTGTACGTTGGTGTAGTTCATTCCTACACCAGTGGGACGAACGAAAGAACCTATACATACATATATACATAGCATGATTTGTACCGAAATATCGTTTTCGAGCTTGTTGGACAAACATATAAACAACATAATCATGTGTGTATTGTCAATTATCCTTATCCGTTGTCTATTAAAAACAACGGCCAAATACGCTATTGATTCATTTTATAGAAAAGAAGAAATTTAATATTTAATTTAAAAGTTGAATCTGTCAATTATTAAGCATAAATATTAATGCTAATACTAATCATAAATCGAGTATAAATGTCCCCATTACATTGTGAAGGTTCAACTTAATGCTTAATCATAATACTAATGCAAATACTAATAATAAGGGAGTATAAATAGACCCTTACACACACGTCTTGCTGGATTGTCTCTGCTAATATATAAAGTTCATGTCACTGTCAATAATACGATAAGAAGTCGGTTATTTTTGAAAAGTAAACCGTAAATGCAAAATGAATGAAAGAAAAAGAAATCAAAGAAATAATCCAAATATTTCCACGTTCATCAGAAGACCTATTGCATCGAAGATTGGCTCTCATAATCTTACTCTACTTAATGAGACATCTCGAGAAAATAATCAAAACGCCATCAGGGGACCTGCTAACAAATCACTAATTTTAAAAGACCAATTAGATTTGGTCTACAATAGTTATTTACAAGCACTTTTAAAACAAGAAATAGCGGAGAACCAAATAAAAAAACGAGAGAAAGTGCTCAATGGACAAATTTTATTACAAGAGGAAAATGTAGCAAAAAGGAAAGAATGTTTAAATCAGATTCAAAAAGAGGCAGATTTATTAATAAAAAAGGAAGAGATTGTTAAAATGATTAAAAACTTAGAGGAAAATATAAATAAAATAAATGGTATTTATGCAAATTATCAAATACAAAAACATGTACAAACTGTCCATGGCGCTTTGACATATATAAGTGGCACTTTAGTTTTAAAAAATATAAAATCATTAGAGAATAAAGATCAAGAAAAATTGGTAGACTCTGTTAAAAAACTTACTTTGGCAACTGAAAAAATTGTTAATTGTGGAAGAGATTTTGAAGGTGTTCACAAGTTGGCAGAGGATTGTAGAAATTTAATCCAAATTGTTAAAAAAATTAAAGAATCTCAACTTCTGCTTTCTACTATGGAGGAAAATGCTGAGCTGACAGTTTTACAGAAGTTATCTGATGAATTTGCTAAGCAATATGAAAATGTTGAACAAAAGACTTAAAATATGTATATATGGATAGTTATTGTTTGATAAACCTGCAGTTCATGTCGCCGCCTGTTGTGCATACATCTGCATACTTTCATCATTAATTTTATCTTGAAATTTTAAGGGCAAGGAAAATCTGTGTTTCACGAAAAAATATTTTATTATTTATTTTGGTTCATTTCCAAAAATGTTTCCTTGCCCTCTAAATTATAATTCGTTATTCCTGTGAATACAAGGCCAACAGCAGGATTACCCTATGTTTTTATTTTTGTTCTCGTTTTAAACTATTTTTTTTTCTTATTTATTCCTAGTAATTGATTAAAACTAACTAATACAATCATTCTTTCATATCCAGAGAAACTAGAATTTCCTTTGCCTGTTCTCTGATCATTAGTACACCAAATGTTTGTTAAATATAAAATAATTAAGAATATTCCACTTAAAATATTTTATTAGCATTTTAGCAAACTAACAGGTATGTATCATGCAACAATGATTTAACCATAATAAACAGCTTCTTTTGTATAAGGAATTGTCACAATTATAAAAATTAAAACACATTTTTTTTTTCAATTTCATACAATGAGAGTTGAAATATCTCTTTCAAAATACAATTTTATCTCACATTTAACAAGATTTTCTAATATATAAGTCAATGTTTAAATTGTGCATAATTGCATACACAGAAAATAAAAATAGTTAAAGTTTCTAAATTAGAATATTAAACTTGTTGATTAGGGATGTTCTTGGGATTAGGGCAGTTTGGGTGGAGATATTGAGATCAAACTTGGTATATTGATGTATTTTCCCATAAATATGAAAATTGCACAAACAAATCTCCTGAATGAGGTGTATTATAAATATGCCACAAATGAGATTTTTATATCCACTGTAACAATTTTTAAATGCCAATCCCCACATCTGAACCATCCAAAGCATTTTAAAGTCCAAACAAAAAAAAATGTCAAAAAAATTGAAATTTTGGGTTTGTATTTAGATAAAATCTTAGATTCCAACTATTTCATTTAAAAAATTCCACTTTTTGAGGATGCAAACTGATCAGCACAATATCTCAAGACATTTTGTGTTGAATAGACTAATATCTTAATATATTACAGTCGACAAAGACATAGTGTGAATGCCAAAATTTAATGGTTTGATTAGACTTTGCATCAAATTCGTTTGAGAGCTCTTCAAAATTGTCAAATAAATGGTCAAAAATGCTGCAGCATTTTAATTAAGGCTCAAAAGTCGAGGGCTATAGCAAAATTGGAAGAAAATTGGTCTTTAAGTGAATTAAATGTCAGTAAACGTTGCATATTTTACGAGATGAAGTTTCATAATTATGAGAAAATACATCCATAAACCAAGATTGGTCTCAATATCTTGATCTGAACTACCCTTAGGCCCAACCAACATGTCTATTTAAAATAAATTAATTATGTACTAGTTTGCTGTAATATCCAAGAAAAAAGTTTCTGTGAAACAATTAATGCAAAATGAAAACATTTGATAGCACAGCGAATTTCAGAAATAACAATATTTACTTAGTTTTATTTAAATTATCAAAAATATAGAAACGCCAATTTTATTTTGGCTAAATTTGTTGAAAATTTTATATTTTAATTATTAATGCTCCATCTCTAGTAATATTACTAAAAAGAATTATATATGGTAATATTTATATTTCAGATATTTTCAAATTAGCAAAAAATAAAATGCAATTAACTATTTAATACATCATCTGTTTAAAAAAGACGGAGCTTTTGAACAAAAAATGAGCATATCAATTTTATGACAAACAAGTTTTGTAAATAATCATACATTTTTTCGTCAGGTAAAAATGACGATTTGTTTTCTTAAAAAAAATATACATATTTTAGCTCTAAAAATTTTGGAAAAAAACGCATTTCTTATATAGGATATTTATATATAAGTATCTAACAGTTGCACTATTTTATATACTATATAAGAACTGCTTTTCAAGCATAAAATATTCCTTTATTCATGGATCGGAATTTTTTTTAAAGACAATTCCATAATAACTATTCTCTCAAACATGATCTAATTTTTTCCACACTTCCAAATCGTATGGAAGGTTCTCTAATTTTCTTAAAAATAATTCATATTCACATGATATGAGAGTACTAGAGACTAGAAATATTTTTTGTTAAAATTCACATGTTAATTCAATAAACACAACAAATTCTTTTTTCACTGGGCAGAAGGGGACTTAACAGACGTATGGCACTGTTTTTTTGGCAAGTAAAATTGAAACAATATTTTAATATTTCATTCATATTAAAGGCGCTAAAGAGTTTCCTATAACTGTCTAAATATGATGACGTTTATTTTTTAATTTTATAATGTATATGAATATCAAAAGTATTTTATTAAATCGTTTGAGAAATACCTCGGAAAATAATATTTAAGCATTTTTGTCAGCTTAATGTCACATAAATATACTGTTTTGGGCACCTACAAAGTATAAAATAAATTAAAATATAGTGACTTATTTGAATATATTTTTCCATATTCTTACTGAAGGGTTTTTAAGCTATTGCATAGCTTTTACCGCGGGCTTTGAGCGCGGCGACCGAATCAAGAAATTCCGTAACGAAAATAAACCTAACACCCCCCCCCACTCCGACCGGCACAGCGGTGCGGCGTTGAAAGCCGTGGAAGGTTTTATCCGACCCTATTCGTATTAGTATGAAGCGGAGTGGAGCGTTTATGCAATACAAGAACTAGAAGAGCTTTCTCTGGCTTCTAATAAATTGGTATCACAAATGTTCCCGGCTGACGTAAATATTAGATATTAATTTTTTTTGCAAGATTTATAAAATATTAATTTTTATTTTGTCAGTGTTAACTATTTCATTATTAAGCTATTGCATAGATTTTATCGCGGGCTTTGAGCGCGGCGACCGAATCAAGAAATTCCGTAACAAAAATAAACCTAACACCCCCCACTCCAACCGGCATAGCGGTGCGGCGTTGAAAGCCGTGCATCGTCTAACGTCGTTTCAGTTCGGCAGACTTCGGCACGGTGTTTGTGTGCGTGCGACTAGACGTATGCGTGTAGACTAGCTGCTAACTGCTCATAACTGATTATATATCTTTTAGACACAATTTCGGAAAAATTGAATTTGAAAATGAATAATGATCCACAAGAATTCACAACAAAATATGGGACCACCATTGACGCGGTATTTTTCCAGATATTTAGAGGATATCAAGTCTCAAACTTATGTTTCTTATTTCAGTTACCATAAACCTACAGTTTCCATGATAAAAATTCCTGAATAACCTACGTGTATTGTAAGATAATAAAAATATTTTAAACAATATTAACTTCTCATTTATTCAATAAAAGAAAAGAATTTGTTTTCTTATCGGTCACCACGCTCAAAAAGTGTAACTTGAATTAATATCAAAGAAAAAACTTGAATATCAAAGAAAAAAAAGTACTGCATAAATAAAATAAATAATTATAATTGCATAAGTTGATAAAAAATGCTATGCAATGGCTTTACTGCGGCAGTCCCCGAGTGCCACACGTATTTTTTTTCTTACATTTGAGTAGAGATAATCAAAATATGCATAAAATATTTTTTCTTGTTTTTTGTTAAAAAAAGCTCACCCTGTAAATTTACAAAACGACTATTGGTGTGCAAATAATTTCCTTTTTCCAAAAAAAGCATTTTTGCTGCTTTTCAACAAAACGATGATTCAGAGAGTTTACCTTGGGGGTGTCCATTAATTTCGTGAGGTGTTCAAGGGTGGGGGGGGAGGGGATCAAGCTGAATCTTTCCAAATCTCCACAATCTGACGTAATTTTTTTCTAGTAGAAAACTGTGTAAAATTGCGTGAAAGTAAAGAATGTTTCTAGAAATTTTATATTACGGCAATATTCTTAAATCCTATAGTCTTTGCTATACTAGAAGAAAATATTGGAGAAGGTGAGTCATATGCATGCATGATCAACACTGTTGTCTATGAATGAAAATTCCAACGGAAAGTAACAGAGTTAGCATAGGCGGCGTATCAAATACCAAATAATTATTTATTAGGTATTTGTTAGTAAACTTTATTAAATTTGTTTGTCAACATCTTTATTTAAACAAAGATGATGCGTTAAATAAACGTTTTTGATAGTTTTCAAGAAATGAATATATTTATTCCCTAATGACTTCCTTATCTGTGTTTAATGGTTTTAAAAACACCGCTTTTAAAAACGAGTCATCTCCGTTCTTGGCAATTTCGTTGATCATTACATGCATTTAGTTAGACAGACAAAAAAGTCCGCCCATGTGTGGATCAGGTAAAGAGTCAAAACCGCTAAATCAGTTTTAACTCTGCAATAGAGAGTAAAATTTTGTAAGATGATACCGTAATATTTGGAGGCGATGACAAATGAATGTGTTTCCAGTAAATAAACGACAGACGGGTTACAGATTGAATATTGTCAGCACAGGCACAAAGACAGTTGAAAACTAACTTTCGAAGTTAGATTTGTATCGCTTTAACTATTTACGATAATTATTTTATAAACACTTTTTTGTATAAGTGCTCTTTTCTGATATACGAGTAGGTGTTCATGTTTGTGCCTTACAATTTGGTAGTGATAGTGCATATTCGACGAGTTATATTTATTGTGTAGTATATTAGGTAGGTACTTTAAAAGTTTATTAAATAGTAAAATATTGGTGTCTTTATAAATTTAATAAAAACAATTTTATAGTAGAAATATATTGTTACAATAGTAATGGATTCAGAGGCGGGTCCAAGTGAAACCCAACTACGTCGGCGAAAGCCCTTATCAAAGGATGAAAAGAACATTATATGGAAAGTGTATGATGGGCTGAAACAGACACTTCCTACAAATGAAGCTGTAAATCGCAGTTCTTTTTTATCTGGAGTATCTGTTTCAACAATTGAACGTATTGTACGCGAAAAGACAAAAAAGGCTCCTTAGAAGCCCCTAAAACGCATGCCCGTGGTCGAAAATTGTTGAAATTGGACGATAACCAAAAACAAATTATTCGAAGAACTGGACATTCTTTTT